GGGGGGGTCGCCTGGGGGGGTCTGGGAGCGGGAGCTAGTCGTACTAATGTTAGACTAGGGAGAAGGGTGCTTGGGGGTGTCAAGGTGGGGAGGTGGATGCTGGGAGCTGGTGGTGCTGGGCCAGTGGGAGGTGCAGAGGCTGGGGGGATGGGAGGTGGGGGGGCAGATTGGAGGCTAAAGGGAGTCGGGGAATGGTGAAGGTGTTGGGGCTGCTGAGGTTGGGGTCCTTGGAGCAGAAGGGGGAGAACCACATAGGAGCAGGGAGTGCCCGTCGAGTTGCTGTGGGAGACTGGGGACAGCAGATGTATGGAGACTGGGTAGCCTCTGTGCACTGGGGAAGGCCTGCGGGCCAGGCCTGTCCGGTACCCTCACCCCCAGTCCCCCTCTTTTTCCCCCCACAGATTGCCAAGGAGGTGGCGAAGCTGCTGGAGATGAAGGCGCAGCTGGGGTCAGATGAAGGCAAACACAAGTTCGTGCTCAAGACCCCAAAGGTAACTTCCCGCAGCGTCCCGGGGACACATCCCGCTCCCCAGCATGCGCAACGCCCCCTGCGCCTCTCTGTGCCAAATTTCAGCGTGGCTTTGCCCCTCTTGGTTCTCTTTCTGTTGCCTTTGTCACATTTAGCATCAAGGGACAGAGAAGTGAAAACATCCCTGAGAGAATCCAACCCAAAAACTTTTTGGTGCTTCTGGGACGTGGCAAGAGGGGTCAGGAAGTTCAGCTCCCTTTTGGCAGAGTTTTATCGTGTCTGCCCAGTGTGAGAGGTCCCACATCTGCTGGGACTGATCTGTTTGAAGTAAGGTCGTGAGTTGCGTTGCCCTGGTGAATGTAGGGTTAGGAGCCTTCAGCTCTTGGAGCGCTGACCCCACAAGTACAAGACATTGGCTCTTGTGGCTCAAGGATTCTCAAGTTGGTCTCATTACCTAGTCACCTGGATGGAGGGGGTGAAGCTGCTGGTGGGTTGGGCGAGCATGGAGTGCTGGGAAGTGCAGCTCTGCTGGTGCAAGGCTCCTTAGAGAACTTTCCTGGGGGGGGTCTCTCTGTCAGAGGCCTTCTGGTGGCCTTTCAGTATTTCAAGGGGCCTACAAGAACAATGAGAACAATCTTTTTAGCAGGGCCTGTTTCCGCAGGTCAGAAGGTGATGAGTTTGAACTCAAAGAGCGAGATTTAGACTAGAGAGAAGGAAGAAATGTTTGACACTGAGGGTGGTGAGCCCCTGGCCCAGGTTTCCCAGGGAGGTGGTCAGTGCCCCATCCCTGGAACCATTCCAGGTGAGGTTGGACGGGGCTCTGAGCAACCTGCTCTAGTTGGGGGTGTCCCTGCTCCCTGCAGGGGTGTTGTATGAGCTTTAAATGTCCCTTCCCACCCAAAGCAGTCTGGGATTGTGGAGAAACCAGCAGTCATAAGCCAGCTAAAGAAATCCACGTACCCAGTGGTGTTTGCTGGGCACGTTCAGCAG